ACACTGGACAGCGAGAGCAGAGGTGATTTCCCAATTCTAGCAAAGATTAGAAGCAGGAGGAAGAATGCCAAGACTTTGCTGTCTTTGAAAAGCAGCAAGAGAGGTCAGGATATCGTTGAGTATCTGCAAAGCCCAGAGCCGGAAACTCGTGGAGAAGTTCTTTTCTGTTGAGGTTGGATCAGCCGCCAAAATCTCTTCCCCCCCCCCCCCCCCCAATAATCCAATTACTCCACTTTAATCATCAAGCGGCAACCAGCTCCTGGCACTTTTGAAAGCAGTTATTAAAGTGATACCGTTCAGCAAACATTAATTAACCAATCTGCACTGAGGATGTCAAAGGAAGTGCAGATAGCACTTTCATCTGCCGAAATGTAGGTATTTTGCCTGGTTAAGGAAAAGGTTCCCCTCCGATATACATGCTAGTCGTTTCTGGCTCTAGGGGGCGTTGCTCATCTCCGTTACAAAGCCAAAGAAGAGCCAGCGTTGTCCGAAGACATCTCCGTGGTCATGTGGCTGGCAAGACTGAACACCGAAGGCGCACGGAACGCTGTTCCCTTCCCACCAAAGGGGTCCCTATTTTTCTACTTGCATTTTTTCCGTGCTTTCGAACTGCTAGGTTGGCAGAAGCTGGGACAAGGAACGGGAGCTCACTCTGTTACGTGGCGCTAGGGATTCGAACCGTCAAACTGCCGACTTTCCTGATTGACAAGCTCAGCATCTTAGCCATCGAGCCACTGTGTCCCTTGCCTGGCTAAGGACACGTTAAACCCGGAGTTGTCCATACATTTAAAATCATGCCCCCAAATATATTTACATGGAAATAGAAGGAGGGGGGAGAAAGTTGCAAATACAGGTGGCCCTCAATTCACGGCCAGAACTGGGACCAGAATTTCCACGGCTAAGCCAAGGCGATTGTTAAGTGAGTTTTGCCCCGTTTTACGACCGTTCTTGCCGAGTGAATCGCTGCAGCTGTTAGGAATGTGGTTGTGAATTGAATCTGGCTTCCTCTGTGGACTTCGTTTGTCAGAAGGTCACCAAGGGGGATTCTCATGATCTTGGGGGACACCACAAACCGTCATAAATACGAGCCAGTTGCCAAGCACCTGAATTTTGATCAAGTGGCCGTGGGGATGTTTGCAACAGTCTTCAATGTGGTGGGTGGGGGGGAAATGTCCTGATAGTGAGAACCATTAATTACTGGGACAGCTTGTCTTCAGAAGTTGTGGGTGCTTCAACCTTGGAGGTTTTTAAGAAGAGATTGAACACCCCTTTGTCTGAAATGGTATATAACAGGAGTCTCCAAACTTGGCAACTTTTAACAGTGGTGGGATTCAAAAAAAAGTTTACTACCAGTTCTGTGAGTGTGGCGTGGCTTGGTGGACATGG